CCCCAAAACCCCAAAACCCCAAAACCCCAAAACCCCAAAACCCCACGCCAAAAATTCAAAATTGCAAAATTTTTATAAAACATAAATTTGAAATGTCTTTGAAAAGATTCCATGTGAAGCGGCAAACTGACTCCTACACCTGGAGTGAGACTGAGGACTTCATTAGCATCAGTTGTCATGCCAAAGGAATGACACTGAAGCACTTTGATATCTTCATTAGTGATTTGTTCATCAAGGTTAATATTCCAAAGATAAAGCACATCATTGTGTGGGATCTCAAAAGTCCCATCGATTTCAGTTCCCCTCACAACAGGACAACACTAGCCAACGGCCAGCTTGACATGAAGATCTTCAAGAAGGAGCAAGGCGAAATGTGGGAAAACCTCGAATACGAAGGATCCAAAGCAGCCAAACTCAAAAGAAGGAACGAGAGTATCCAGAGGTTCGAACAGTGGGAAAAGAAGAAAAGAGACGAGCAGGGTGAAACCAAGGTCAAGTTGGACAAAGCAGCACTTGATAAACAAATGGAGCTCGAAGCCTGGGAAAGAAGCACACTCAAAGCTAAGAAAGATGAAGAGAAGAAGTATGTGGAAGACCAACTCTATGATGACTTAGAGAAAATGGAGGGACTAAATGAGAAATTAAAGCAGGGGTATGACCCAAAGGAAGTACAAAGAGAAGCACAGAAAATTTCTGAAGAATCTGTACATAAATTAGACCCCTCAAATAGTACTCAGAAGAACATCACAAGAGCCTCTGACTCGAGGTCTAAGTATAATGATCCCAGCAAGAATATTTTCGATGATTCTGATTGAGTCGAAATGCCGAAGGTTGTAGAAGACAATTCTGAGCACATCAAGTCTCTTACAGGAGAAATTCCAGAAGATGAAAGAATTCTGAAAGAATTTAATCAGGAAGAATCCAAATGTTCTTATGTTGACACCATTCAGCCCAGTGAAGCTGTCGAAGAAATAATTGAAGAGGTCCCTGGACCTCCAGTCAAGCCTGTTGAATTGCCAGAAGTAAGGCAAGGAGGATCTAAAAAGATAGAGTTCTCTGAGAAAGTATATCCAAACATGCCAGCTAGAGAGAGTCATAAAAAGGAGCCTCCATTACCGAAATCTAAAAAATTGAAACAAAACAAGGATGATAAAGATATGAACTTCTCGATAGAAGACAAGGACCCAGTATGGCTGAAAGACAAAGGAGACCACTTCTTCAAAAGGCATGACTACAACTCTGCAATGAATGCATACACCAAGTCTATCAAGAATGATCCAGACTTTCTGATGTGCTACCTCAACCGAGGAACTACCTGTATGAAGATGCACAACTTTGAAGGGGCCTTACTAGATTTTGATGACATTGAGAAGAAAATTAACGCAGAAAGTGAGGAAGAGAAGAAAGATCCATTCTATGCAAGGATGATGTCAAGAGTTTTGATCAAGAGAGGCTCTTGTTATGGCTTCCTCTCCAATTTTGAGAAAGCAGAAGAAGACCTTCAAAAAGCAATGAGTGAGTTTAAAGGACTTTTTAGCGAATCAGAGCTGAAATCCATTGAGTCTGACCTGAAAAAGATTAAGACTAGAGGCGAGTCCAATGAAATTAAGAAGAAGGGAGACAATTTTTACGGGCAGGGAGAATTTGATTCTGCCATAAAAGAGTACCAGGAAGCCGTCAAGATAGATCAAACCAATGAATATGCTCTTGGTAACATCGGAGTGATTCATATGAAAAGATCTGACTACCAGAAATGTATCGAATACACTGACTCTGCTTTGAACCAGATAAATAATTTCATCAATGAGACTAAGAGTTTCAAGAATGATAACCAGCTAGAGGTTAAGCTCCTTCTCAGAAGGGGTAAGTCCTTCCAGATGATTAAGGAGTATGAGAAAGCTAAAAAGGACCTTGATGAGTGCATCAGACTTGACAGGCGTAACAAAGAGGCTCAATCCATCCTTAAGAAGGTGCAGGGAGAAATCAATGATATCTTATACAAAGAGAATAAAGATGAAGCAGAGAGGTTGTTCAAAGAAAAAGAATACTCTAAGGCACTAGAACATTTTGAGCAATGCTTGAGAATTACAAGGAAAGCCTCCACCTTGAGCAATATCTCAGTGTTCGTCAATAAGACAGCCTGCTTATTTGCTTTGAAGCAGAATGATTTATTGATAACCGAATGTAACAATGCTCTAAGATTAATCAGCAATTTTAAAATCAAAGATAATACTAAAGAAGATGCTGAAAAGGCTAAGAAGATGGAAGTTATATTACTTCTCAGAAAAGGAAAGACTCTAGTAGAACAGAACCAAATCCAGAAAGCAATTGAACTTTATGAGACTGCTTTAGATATCGACCCAGAAAATTCAAAAATTCAGGAAGATATCAGAAGCCTAAAAAAATCAATTTAAAATGGATCAAAGGTTTCAATATTTAATATCAAAGAGGGGTTTTGGGGTTTTGGGGTTTTGGGGTTTTGGGG